TAAAATATTTTTAGTATATATCTTTATTTATTCTTAGTTTATTTATAATACATTATTTGATAATATATATAAACTCAATTTTTAATATACATAATTTATATTTTTTGTGTTTAAATAATCATAAAAGTGAAAATAAATATTATATGAATATCTTTTTAATAAATATTATATTAAAATAAAAAATTATATATAATTTGCATATTTTACATTTAATTAGCAATAATATTTATGATTTTCCATATATACAGCTTTTCGATATGTTTTAAAATTACGAGAAAATTAAAATAGCCTAATTTAGAAAACTTAGAAGAATATAATTAAATATATAGAATATAGTAAGAAATTTTAAATAAATTATATAAAATAATATGGTATAATCAATATTAATTTACTTCACTTTAAATTAATTAATAAATAATATATTATAAGATTTAAAGATACAAAAAAAAATCAATAATAAAAACTAAATAAATATATATTAAATAGAATATTATTTAAACTTAAATAATTAAACTATTTAGCTTATAATATAAAATTAATTACATAAAAATTCTAATTTATATAATATTAATTTATAATTATTATCTTGTATTAAATGATATATAATAATATTATATAAAAAATATTAATAATGTTTATATATATTTAATAATTTTAATTATGTTTAAACTATTTTTAATAAATTTGTATTTTTATTATACTATTAATAACTTTAATATATATAAAAAATAATTTAGTTATATGATTTTTTATTTTAAGTTTTAGTAAACCTTAGTTTAGTTTTAAATAATCTATTGATATAATTATTAATATATACATATATATATATATATTTTATTATATTACATAACTCTTTTAAACGTAAATACTTAAATATAGATAAACATAATCTTTTTATTATATTATTTGTATTTATAATTTAAATACTAATTTTTAATATAATACTAGCTAAAATCAAAAAAGTTAAAGGATAATTTATTTTATAGTAAATTAATAATATTTAATTAGAAAAATACATAAAAAAATATAAATATATATATAAGAATATAATTTTATTTATATATTTTATAATATGTTTTTTTTTTTTATTAAAAAAAATAAATATTTTATTGAAATATATAACATATTTTTGTTTATTTAATATAAAATATTAACTATTTTCAATTATTTTTAATTATTTGATTAAAAGCGATTTAATTATACAAAATAAATATATTAAACTATATTCTTTTCGTTTTTTTATACAATAAAATAAAAAACTCAATATTTTTTTGCTTTTTTTAATGCTCTTTCTAATATAGGAGTTGGTCTTTAATTAAAAAAAATCTTTTTATATATAACATTTCTCACATATATTTTTATTTCATTATCTTCTTATATTTTCTCATTTATTAATATAGGTTCTTTTAATTCTTATTCTATACCTACCAAATCATAAATTCCAATTTTCAAAATATATTTCTTTTTTTTTTGTATTATTCTTTATTAATAAATTAAATAATATATTACTTTGTTATCTTCTGTTTATTCTAAACTTCCTATAGGAACACATTATAAGCTTTCCTCAGAATCGTTTTCTAAATCACCTTGGAATTCAATTAAAACATATTCTTAAGGATCTATATCATAGATTAACTTAATTTACATTTTTTTTATAAATAATATATTAAAAATTAAATTAATACCCGCCAAACATATTAAAACAAAAATATATAATACAATACAAATATATATATATATAAGTAAATATATATTTATTTATTAATATTGATATTAATATTAATAATAATATATATATATAGATATATTAACTTTTATTTCAAAATAGAAAATAATTTAAATTCACATACTAATCCCAATATTTTAATTCTTTTGGAATCCATAATTGTTATTGAGTTTATTTTCAAGAAAATATATATTAAATAAAAACAATTTTTCTCAAATTATTATAATAACTTCTTAAAATATAAATATTTATATTAAATTTAAAAGGTTAAAACCTTAGTTATGAATATATATATATATATATATATATAACAATCTTAATATAAATAATAATGTATATTATGAATTATTTAGTTTAACTTATTTAAAAATAATAATAATATTAAATATAGCGAATTGTTCAACTTTTGAGCTGATTTTAAATGCTATACAAAGTTGTTCTTTTATATCTAAAATATCATAATAAAACTATTATTATTTATAAAATTATAAGCAAACTATATTGGTATTCTATATACAAACAAAAACTTATTAAAATGATAACTTAGATTTCAATAAATTAGGAATTTTACACAAGCTATAAATCATTTTATATTATTCTATAATTTAAGAAAAAGGTATATATATATAATCAGATTTTGATAAATAAAGTAATTAAAAATGTTATGTTTTCATTTAGAAAATATATGTATGCACTATTAATTAATAATTATATAAAAATTTATTACTAAAAAGAAAAACGAAAAAGAATATCACAGTTATATTAAAAATTGAGTAAATTCTAAAAACAATACTTATAATTTATATATATATATATATATATATATATATATATATATATATATATATATATATATGTTTAAAACATATATATATGTATTTTTATAATATTTATTTTAAAATAAAAAATATCGTAACAATATAAAAAATACATACAAAAAATATTTTAATTATACAAAGTGTAATATATTTTTTTTTGAATAAAAAATTCTCAAAGTTATCTTGTAATCAAGGCTTTTCTATAAGCTTAGAAATCTCCTTTAAACTAAACCATTTTTTTATCTTTTACATAAAAGATTTACTAACAAATACTTTCAACTAAATGTTCATCATGAGAAACTACAATAAACCCTCCATTGTAGCTTTTTAAAGTATCAATCAAAGCATCAATAGCATCTAAATCTAAATGATTAGTAGGTTCATCTAAAATAAGTAAATGTGGACAAGTATATAATTATTTCGCTAAAGCCACTCTGGATTTCTAACCTCCCGATAGTTCTGAAATTTATCTTAAATGAGTGGAACCTTTTAGCCCAAATTTGGATAAATAAGCCCTGAAATGTTCTGGAGTTTACCCTTTAAACTATTTTTATAGGGATTCCACAGGAGTAAGGTCCATATCTAATTAATCTATATGATGTTAAGTGAAATAACTGTATATTAATTTTGGATTACGCATTTAATGACCATACATAAGCTCTAAATTACCAGTTAATAATTTTAAAAAGGTAGACTTTCCTGCCCCATTATCTCCTATAATTGCAATTTTAGAATCACTATGTACTGCGAAGCTTAATTCTTCGAAAATGATATTGTTTTCAGAATAACCGAATTTACCATCTTCTATTCTAAGTAAATAAGAACTTAGCTTTTCAGGTTAAGGGATCTAAAATACAGTCTTATGATCTTCTATTATATCTTCAACTTCTTCCATTTTATCTAAGGCTTTAATTCTACTTTATACTAAACTGGCTAGTTTTGCGTTTGCTCTAAATTTATCGATGAAGGCTTTAGCGTCTTATCTTTCTGCTTGATTAAATTCGAATTTCTTTCTTTATAAAGTTTATAATTCGGTTCTAGTCTTCACAAATTAGTCGTAATTTCCTGAATAATAAGTTAATTTCGAATCACAAAGATGTATAATATCAGTACAGACTCTATTTAAAAAAGCTCTAGAGTGAGATACTAACACTATAGTCACATCTGAATTTTAAATGAACTCTTCAAGCCAAATAACAGCATCTAAGTCTAAATGATTCGTCGGTTCATCCAATAATAAGATGTCTGGTTGCACGAAAAGGGCCCTAGCTAATGATACTCTCATTCTCCACCCTCCGGAAAGCTTTTAGGTGGGATTATTGATCATATCTTGTGTAAATCCGAGCCCACCAAGTATACTTGAGGCCCTACTTTCGGCAGTATGAGCATCTATTTCTTCTAATCTTCTGTATATATCAGATATACGACCATCTTATTTTTCGCTATTCTCCTCATTACTAGCTAGTTATTCTTGCTCTTTTAATAAAGCTTCTCTTTCTACATCAGTTTCAAGTACTTATTATAAAGGAGTTTTATGGTTTCCGGCCATCTCTTATTCTACAAGAAGAATTTATAAGTGTTCTGGTATCTTAAATTCTCCAGAAGCCAATGCATATAATAAACTAGTCTTCCCAACTCCATTTCTACCCACTAAACCATATTTACGGCCTTATGTTAATTATAATTCACTGTTATCTAATAGAATTATTCCTCCTTACATAACTGTAATGTTATCTAAATATAAATCATATACTCGATTACTTACACATTCACGATTATGTCTAACTTAAACTAGAGGGGCACGATTTTCTTTTTCTTAAGTTACTCTTGTTTATGTTTATACTGCAATTCTTTTTTTACGGTCGTTTTTTGATTCTCTTTTTTTTTTGTCCATTTTATTTTTTTAAATTTAATTATTTTATTAATTTAATTTTATACTATAAATTTTAATTTATAATTTAATATATATATTAGTATTAACAAAGTACAAATTTAAATATAAAACAATCATTTATTAAAGTTAGGCTTTAAAACATAAGAAAATAAGAGATAAAAAATAATATTAAATATACAAACATATATAAATATATATAAAAAATATATATATATATATATATATATTATTTATATATGTATTAAAAACAAAAATAATTAAAATTTAATCCATTATTTATTAATAATATTTATATTAAAAGTGAATAGAATATATTATTGCAACATATTCATTTCTAAATTTTATTTAAAAATTATATTATTTTATAATTTTAATATTATTAATATTAAAATATATAATTCTAATATATTGATTATATATCTTTTTCTTACAAAAAGCTTATTACAATTTTAAAGAATATTTCTTCTTTAACCTTATTCTCACAATATAATAAATAAATCATTTTTCTCTATAGCTAAAAAAATATAATATATTAGCTAAATCCTTATTGTCAAAATTTTCTCAATTATTAATAATATATATTAAATAATTTAAGTTGTTAATAATTTTTATTAATATATAAAAATAAAATTATAAATAAAATTAATTTTGCTTAAACTATGGCTAATGATAAATTTTATATAATTGCTTAATTATATTTTTATTAAATTTATTATATAAATAATAATCAAAATATTTTTTTAATAAAAAAAAAATTAATAACTTTAAAAAAACCAAAAAACATATAAAAATAATAAATTTAACTAATCTATTTTTTATATAATCTTAATAAAAAAAGTAATTTTTATCATTAAAAAAATTATCGAAAAAAATAAAAAAAAAATCACATTTTTCTAAATAATTTATTTAATCCATATACAGCTGATCCCCCTAGAAAAATAGCAATACTAACAGGTCCTAAACCTACTGCCCCTGCAGTTTAAAGTATAGAAACTAAAGATCCTGCTGCAATTCCTCCTCCATTAGCTATAGCTGCAGATGACATCATCGTAGCTCCTATGCTATTAGCAGCAATACCTGCTGATGAAAATCCTAGAGCAGATATTATTCCTTGTGTAGCACATACAGCTGTTGCTCCTGAAAGGGTTGCACCTGCTATGTCTTTAGCTATTTCTTAGTGGTTATGTTTAGTATGTTATTATTCTGATGATTATTAATTTTAAGATTTTTTAGTTTTTAAGAGTTTAATTAAAAATAGAACTAATCTAGCATAAAATTTGAAGTTCTTTTTCATTTTTATTATTATTAGTTTTTTTTGTTTATAAAAAAAAAATTAAATATATTAATATAAAAAAAAAAAAATAGTATATAAATTATTGAAAAATATTTATAATTAAAATACTAATTTTTAGAAATATTTTAATAGATATATAAATATATTCTAAAAATTAATAATTTATTATATAAAATAAGAATTTTATTATAAATATATTAAATAATTTATATACTAAAATAAATAAAAAAAATCATTAAATAAAAATAAAAAAAATTACTTTCTTTAAATAAATAAATAAAATAAGGTAAAAAAATAATTAAAAAGATATAATTAGTTTAAAATAAAAATAATATTCTTAGATATATAATAATTAAATAGAATTATATTAATTTTAAAATTATATTTAAAAAATAATAAACTTATTAATTAAATATTAAATATAAATATATATATATATATATATATATATATATATATATATATATAATTTTAGTTTTAGTTTTAATGATTAAAGTAAAATATTATAATTATTAAAAGAATAATAAAAAATAAATTATATGTAATAAAATATAAAAATTTTATGAGATATAAATTTAGAAATATAAAAATAATAATAATATAATAATATTATAAAAAAAAAGTAATAAAAATAATTAAAAAACAATATTTATAATTATTTTAGTAATAATATTTATAAATTTAATTTTATTTAATAAAAATAATAATTATTATTATTAATTTAAATTTATACATATAATAATAATAATTATTTAAAAATTTATAATATTAATGATTTTTATAATCAATAAAAAATAATATTTTAAATATTATTAATTTATTTTATAATTTTATTTTTTTAAAAAATGTATAAATTATAATATTTTTTTTTTTTTATCAAATTTTTCTTACAACTTTTTATAAATTTATATGAGTTACAAAATCTTTAGTAAAAAGAAATCCATCTAAAACCATTTTATCTATTTTTTAACACATCGAAGCAACTTTTTTTAATACTGAATTATTTTCTTGGAATGATTATTATTAATTATTTTATAAATAAGTTTAATCTTAAAAAATATGTTAATCTTTATTACTATCATAATAATTATTATTATATTATTATTATAATTATTATTATTATTATTATTATTATTATTATTATTATTATTATTATTATAATTTTTATTATTAATTATATTATTAAGTTTATTATTTATTTATTTAATTTATTAATTATTTTTATTCAAATTTCTTATTTATTTATTACTTTAATAATTTATACCGAAGAAATTGAAAATTTTATTAATTTTATTAAAACTATAATATTTTTTTAAAAATTAATGTATTTCTTATTTTTCTTATAATAAATAACTTTCATTTTCTAATTTTCCTTAAACTAATAGTATTGAATTTTTTAAATCTATTCCGGTATTTTCTAAAAAATCGAACAATTCTTATTAAACATTCTATGTTTAAACTTATTTATTTCCAATATTATTCCACATAGTTTTCCCTTTTCTTAAATCATGTGCAATTAAAGCCATTTCTACATTATTCTTAAGTTTAGCTTATGTAGCTAAAATGATTAAATGTTCATAATAATGTTTATTTTATTCTGGAAAAATATTTTCCTTTAATTAATCTGTAAAAATATAGTCTCTTTCACATATTTCTATTACTACTCTTGCAATGTTATATGCGTCATCAATTCCTTTGTGTTTTATTCCTTCGAATTCTAAATTAACACTTTTTAACATATGGTCTATATTTAAAGGATTTGGATTAATTTCGACAGGGAATATTCTTTTTAAGTCTATAAATTCCTTAAAAACAGGTTTTAGGTTTATTTATTTAAAATCAGTCTCTTTTCTTAAAAAGTTCCTTAAATCAGAATCACAATCATTTAAAATAGATACATTTTAACCGTCTTTCATATATTTATTAAGGAATATTTCAACACTTTTCAATATTTAAGGTAAAGTGGGGGCATCATCAACATTTTCTTAAGTAATTCCGGTTAATTCTGTACAAAAATCAGTCAAAATAGGATACAAAGTAGGCTTTACATAGGAATGAAATTTATCTACTATCTTCCTAGTCTTCAAATCAAGTACAATTATTGGAAATTCGATTATTTCTTAGATTCTTAATCTCTTATATTTGTCACAAGTACACTCGAAATCTATAATAAACAAATAATCGAGGTTTGATTACTAAGAACATTAATGAGATTTTTACTTTATTTTATATTAATCATTATTTTTGTGACATAATAAACAATGAGCCTTTTCAGGATATCTACAAGCGCAATTATCTATTATTAAAATAGGCATGTTTGGGTAAAAGATACTCGTTAAATGTTAATGCATTTTATAATTTGAAAAATTTTACTTTTAATAAGCTTTTTATATTTAGAAGTATTTTATATATATTGATATTATTAATAATAATTAATAAATATATATATGAATATATATATATATATATATAAATTATGATTTTTTTTTTTTTTTTTAAAGAAATTTTAAAATCTGGAATATTCTAATAAAATATAAGCAAAAAATAAAATTAATTTTATTAATATATATTATTCATATAAAATTAATAAACTAAAATTGTTTTTTGATATATATATATATATGATATAGTTAAAATAAGATAAAAATAGCCATTTTATGAAATTCATCTATAATATTTTTTTAAAAAGATAAAATGATAATTTGATTATTTCCATTTAAGAAAGATTTTATAAAATTAAAATATAATCTTTTTATTTAAAAACAATATAGAAAAAAAAATATAAATATTAAACGTTATTAAATAATTAAAAAACACATATAATATAATATTATATTAGAATCAAAGATTTTCTGAAGTTTTTTTTTTATTTTTAATAAAAAATTATAATAAAAAAAAATATTGAATTATTTTAAATACAATATTAAATTTTATTTAATTAATAAATATAAAAGATATTTCATAATAAAAATATTAAAAATTTTAAATATTATAAATATTAATAATATAAAATAAATTTCAAATATAATAAATATATATATATAAAATTAAATATATATATTATTTTATAATTATATAATATAAATATTCATATCCTTATTAAATAAATAGATGTAATTATAATTATTTTTTTATGTTTATATTTATATATATATTTTTTTTTTCATATTTAAATAATATATATATTTTTTGAATTTAATAATATATTTTCTTTTAATTTCTCATATTATTTTCTAATCTTATAAAACCATACTACCTGTTGTTTTCAAAATGTTATATTTTTCTTAATTTTTTTTATATATACAATTTTTCAACAGAAAATCAATTTTAGAATTTTCATTTTAAAGCATTTAACTTATACTTTATTTTTTATCATTTTATTACTAATGATTCTATTATTAAATAACTTTATGTAATTCCTTTGAAGAGTCAAGCTAACTTTAACTAAATTTTTATTATATACTTTCGCTTTAAGAGCTATTATATATTTTTATTTCCTTTTCTTATTTTTACAAAGGCTTTTTTTATTAATATTTTTGATAATAATCCATTATATTTAGCTTATAATAATCAGGAATCCATTATAATTGATTATTTTATTAAGCATAAGTTTAAAAAACTTCTATTTTTTATTATTTTTTTATTTCTTAATTTTTATTTTTTTCAGCTTCCTTTAAATTTAACTATTGAGTAAACTTAGACTAAGCCCCTGCATTAAATTAAATTTTAGGCTTTTTTTTATTTTTAATTTCCTATATTTTTTCCTTAAGTTCATTTTAATTCACTAAGAAAATATTATTCATTAAAAAAAGGACTTATTCCATTAAAATTTTCTTAATTTTTTCCAGTTTATTTTAATTATTATCATCCTAAAATTAAACAAACGATGAATATTTTATATTCTCTTCTTCATTTTCTTCCTCAATAATAACATTTAGGACACTTTATTTATTAATAAAGCTTAAATTATTATCTTAATTATTTAAAATAATACTCAATTGAAGTTTACTTATTTATTCTTTAAATTAAACGAGCGCTTTTCTACAAAAACCCTCATATATTTCTCTAATTAAAGGGATTATAGTCCTAAACTAAATATAGTCTTATTTTCGGTTTCTTATTATTATATTTATTGATTTTAATAAAGGAATTATATTAGCAAGGTTTTCTTTTTATTAAAAGGACATATCTGTTATTTATTTAGGAAAATCTTTAAAAAAATATTGAATTTTATCTAAAGATATCAGGTTTTTGCATATTTAATATATACAAGAGTTCAAACAAAATTAAGTTTAATTATTAAAATCTAATTTTTATTAATTATTTAATATATGAAGAAAAGTCTTAGATGATAAAAGTAATTCCGGAAATTTTTTTATTAATGAAATATTATATATTTAAAACATAATTTGTAGTTAGATCATAGTTTTTATTTAGAAAAATTACATTTAATTAAAAAATAATAGAAAACTATCGATATATTAAGTTATTATTTAGATTTAGTTATCATTTAAAACATTTAAAAATTATTAGTTTTTTATTAAGATTAAGTTTTAGGTTGAAATTGTTAAAATTATTAAAAGATTTTAGAGGTTCTGTTTTAAAAATTCATCATCTTATTTATAATAAAAAGTATTGAAAATAAAAGTAAGTATTTCAATACTTAAAAAATATTACTTTACATAGGAAAAAAATAAATAAATATAAATATATAAATAAATATATATATATAAATATATATATATATATATATATATATATATATATATATATTTGTCTTACTTTTATATTTTCTTCATCAAAATTTTATTATTTATCATTAATTTTTATAGAAAAATAATTATAAGCAATAAACATTATATTTTTAGTGTTATTAATTTAATTTTTATTAAAAATATTATTATTATTATTTTTCTAAATTTGTATTAAATCATTCAATATTTAATTTTTACTTTCAAAAATTATATACAAATTTTCTTTATTCTTTTTAATTAAGACTATAATTAATTTAAAAACTTAATAAATGCAATTTTAAATTATTTTTTTTATTTAAAAAATGCATTTTTAACTTTTCTCAAAAGGAAATTAGTTATCTTCCTATTAAATTAATTTTATAAACCACAAATTTAAATTAAATAAAAATTCCAAATTTTAATACGAGACATTTTAATCCATTTTTTTAATAATTAATTTACTTAAACATAATATATGATAAATTAGATGAATTTCAATAAAATAATTAGTATAGTTTTCTATTTATGAAATTAAAATAAAAAATATATATAAATAAAAATTTTTATATATATATATATATATATATATATATATATATATATAAATTTTTATATATATTTTTATTACTTAAATGTTAAGGATACTATAATTCTTTGTCCTCATTTTCTTAAAAATACTATTTAATATTTTATTTATTTATTATAAGGGTTTCTTCTAAAGTAAATCTAATACCATTAAAAAGTATTTTAAATTAAGTAATTTGTTTATATTTTAGATATATGTTATTCTTATTAGTGATTTCTTTTGGACTTATAGTCCTTTTTCTGCTCACTTAATCGAAAATCTAAATATCATCTATAGAGGAAGTGCCTTATTTATCCAAATCTAGTAACTAGAACTATTTAAAGCCAAATTTATTTAATAAAATGGTCAAGAAAAAGTCCTAAACTAGTAAAAAATTGGATTAATTGAACTATTTATATATAAATTCCTATTTTTCATAAGATATCAAATGTATATAGAAAACAATAATTAAATTAACGATTTATTTGTTTTCTTTTTATTAAAATAAAACCTAATTTAAGCATAAAATTAAGTTTTAATTTTAAAATTCCTTATTTGTGAAATAAAATAAGGTTTAGATTATTTATTAATAATAATCAAACAAAATATCCTTATTTAGTATATCTTTAATATCAAAAACTGTCTTTTCATCAAAAATACTAAAAAATACTAATTTACAAAATTAACAGGCATTTTTATAGTGTATATGGAATAAAAAATGACCTTGTTTTTTATTCTTATATTACTTTTTAATCTATCTTATATGAAATATCTCCTCTTCTTAATATATGGAGTCGAGGAAGTTTTTTTCGGATAAATCTTTAATAAGTTGGGAATATTATATACTACTTCCGTATTATTTTTATTAAATAATCATCCCTTTGACTTGTATTCCTTCTGTATTTAAAGAAAAAGATTACTCTTATAAAATCTTCCTTTTTTTTTGAACTCTTTCCATTATGGCGGTATCATCCAAAGAAAAAGCACTCAAATTTTGGTCAACTTTTTGACCCAAAATCTTAATTGTAATTTCAATTATATTTTCCTTCTCTTTTTGTTCCAAATTTACATGCCTAAAAAGTCTATATAATAAAATAACTAATAATCGTTGATAATTGAATTCAATTTGTGGGTCTAAATTATAATTAACTAACAAGAAAACTAGCAATCTAAAGTAAAAAAATCATAAATATAAATATATAAAAAAAAATATAAAAATTTATATGTAAATAGATATAAAAATTAATAAATAAAAAAATTAATATATATATATATATATATATTTAAATATATATATATATATATATATATATATATATATGCTATTACTATTTTTAATAATCAAAGCTTAGTTTATAATTCTCATATTAGCAAATGTTTATTAAAGTAAGGAGTATATATATTTAGGCTTCTTGTATATTGTTTTAAAAGCAATAATATAGGAAACTAAATATTATATTATCCTCATATTGATTTATGGTTTGCATAAATAAGCTCCTGTTATATTGATTATTAGTGATATTAAATAATAATTAAGAAATTTATATTTCAGTATAGAAACAGTTTTTTAGGTTTTTTTCTTTTTATATAGTTAACCAGTTTAAATTTTTTTAAGGAAAAAAGTCTTTCTTATATATAATCTTAAATATATACGCTATAACAAAGTCTTCTATAATATTAATATGAAAAATATAAATAGGAAAGCATTCTATTCTAGACAAACATTGAAATAATTTACAAAAACCTAAAAAAATAGTCAGATTTTAAGCATTCTACTTATATATATGCATATAATTATATGTTTTTTTATTACCTTAGTTATTTAATTATATATACAATCTAAAAAAATACCTTCTCTTATAATAATTTGACACAAACCTTCATTTTCACATAATAAAGACAAAATATTTAAAATATTATTTTTGATTTAACTGGCTTTCATATATATATATATATATATATTTAAAAAATAAAATACATATCAAAAAACAATTCATTTAGGATAAGTTTTAGTTGTTTTTTATACTTTCATCCATATTTTCTAAAAAAAGGAAAAAATAGTTTATTGTATTCCGCTTATATTTTATAAAATACGTTCTAATTTCTTCATTTTAACAAAAGCTCTATAAAATCCTAACCCATAAATCTAGCTTTAATAAAGTATCACTATCAATAACTTATTAAAAGTCTTCCTTTTCGACAAAAATTCTTAAATGAGTCAATAAAAAGACAGAACATTCATCAACTAATTCCCCTAATAAAGCTAATTCATCGCAATAATTAACATCTTAAGATAAAATGTATATTAAATCTAAAATAACATATTAAAAATGATAATTATTCGAGTAAGCATGTCTTAAATACAAGTGGATATCTACAAGTAACAAAAAAAAATAAAAAAAATAACACACACATATACATATATATATATATATATACCATGAGAAATAAGTAGTTTCCTATTTTTTTAAATTTTACAATATTCCTTTATTTGTTCGTAAATTAGCCCATTTTAATTAGTCTATTTATTAGATTCGGAAATAAATAAGTTTATTTATTGTTAGGCTTCTTCGATTTCCTATTAATTGAAGTTTTCTATAATATCTATTGATTTTACGGAATTTGGTGTATTTTTTTAATTCATTTAAATATTTATTTTTTTAAGAAAAAAAAAAAAAAATAGATATATATATATATATATATAATTATATATATATATATTTAGTTATTTTCATAAGGAAACTAGTTTGTTTATTATATGCCTCTTTTATTGGTATTGTGGCTCCTCTTATAGATTGTTACATGCAATACTAGCAAACTTACTTCTGTTTTCTCCTATATTTAACTAACTTAGCTTAAGCTTTCCATTCTAACTATTATTAAGGGAGTTTATTTTCTATGTTTGTTTCATAAACACACTTTTTTATTAAAACTTGATATCTTTTGCCTCTTTTATTTTCGATCCTAGACTGTTTTTTCGAGATTCGGATTTATCGAAATAAATATTTTTAGACTTCGTTTTTATATTATTGGCATTTATTTTTTTCTTTCTATTTTGGAAATTATATACTGCAAAAGATTTCGGTAAGGAAAAGATTTTTACGTTTTATAAAACTTTCAAAACCTAATTTAAGTTATATTTGGTAAAATAAAACTCGAAAATTTTAAACTTATCAAATTGGTCAAAAACATTCAAATCTTAAATTTAAATTTGGGCTAAAATCTATTGTTTTTCGTTCCTTTTTTAAAACTATACTTGTTTCTTATTATTATTTATGTTATTTTATGTCCCTACTTGTTATTATTTGTCTTGGTTTTTAAATAAAGTCTATAAAACTTCCATTAGAATGTTTTAAAAGTTTAAATATATTATATCGTCGTCATTATTTTATATTAAAGATTAAATATGCAATCCTCTAAAAGACTATTTACTATGAATTTTATTTTGCTATTAATAATAACTGTGACTGTTTTATTATATAGGGTTATAATTATTATTATTTTAATGTAAATGCCTTTTTTAATGCGATAAATTTAAATCGTTATTAGAATTTTAAGAATTGAATATTGGGGAATTATTAATTTAATAAGGTGAATTATGTATTATGTGTTGATGATTTTAAATATATTTTTATTTTTTTAATTAATTTTAAGAAATGTTATTTTTTTCATATTACTATTATTATTATTAATATTAGTAGGTTTCTTATTCGTCATTTATATCTTCTAAATATTCATAAGTTGTTTATTTAATAATATTTTTATTTTATTTATTATTATTATTATTATTATTATTATTATTATTATTATTATTATTATTATTATTATTATCACTTTTATTATTTATTTGTTTTTTATTCAATTATTAATTTAATTTTTAAGTAATTTACTAATTTAATTTTTTATTATAATTTTTTAGTAGTTATTAATTTTAATCACTTATTTACTACTACTATATATTATTATTATTAAATTAATTATAATTATTTTACTAATAATAATTATTATTATTAATATTATTATTAATTAATTTTTAAATATTATGATTTTCTTATAAATTTACTACTTCTATTTTCTTTAAATTATTCGTCGAAGTTCTTCTCGAGTACAAATTACCTTACGATATTCTTTTATTATCTATACTATTTTTTTATTCTCTCCAAGACGGCATATTTTTATTATTAGAATTCTACATATTATTATCGGAACAATTAACACTTCCATCACTCTACAATAATTATTATTATTATCCGTCTAAATAGCTATTAAAATTATTAAAACTTCCCAAATTCTACACTGAAATGGCATTATTTATATCTTCTTCATTTTCTTCTTAATATTACAGTGTATATTCTTAAATAATTCCCAAGTCTAAAATCGGGTGTAAATCTACTTTTTTTTCTTTTATTTTTTCCTTTTTCCTTTCCTATTATTAACAAAAAAGACTTTTCAGTATTATTTTCTCTCTATCTCCTATATAGTGCATTTCCTAACAATTTTTAACATAATGTCCATATTTTCCACATCCGAAGCATTCTATTTCTAAAATTCCCATATTTTCCATAAACTATAGACTATCTCTAATTTCGCAAAATTTCTCATAATCCAAAGGGAATTTCTATATAGTTTTAATAAATAAACTCCTCTTAAGACAATATAAAATCGTAAAATCACTCGCCCTTGCCGAAATACTCCTTTATTATTATTAAATGAAAAAACTAAGCACCCCAAAGCACTCTCCTTGCCGAATTAATTTAATTTAATTAACATTACTATCTTCTTTATCACTTTCTATATATAATTCAACACATCCCTGTTCCACTATATATAGAATAGGGTCCTCTTCCACTTAGTCTTACTGGAAGATCAGTTCGTGTTTGGAAAGCCTGTTTTCGGTGGCAATTAGTGCCAATTATTTCATGAGATTTTCCGAGAATTTTTTTTCAAAAATCTTACATTATTAAATAATTTGCAAATTGCTTTCCAAAATAACTTTTTCCCTTAAATGACTCGAAATCTTATTCATAATGACTTATTCTTCTTCCATGGAAAGCAAAGGTTCTGCATAAAACTTATACTCCAGAAATTTCCTCACCTACATTTTCAAATCCCTATTGATTTTCTTCTTTTCTAAAAGCCTATTTACCAAAATCATCTCGTTCTTGAAATCAGTCTACTTTTTATTCTATTCCCTGACTAATTCCCCTATTAAATTGAAGCTATAGGCGAAAACAGCGCAACTTACAAACTAAGCCACGGTGACAAAAAGCACTTCTTTAGCATTTTGAGGTACTATATCTCCATAGCCTACTGTAAGCATAGTAGTTACTGCAAAGTATAGTCCATAACTATATTTATAGAACCAATGTATGCTATCATTGCTTATATTAATTTTATCCATCCAAGTTATTACATTATCTTCCAAGTTCTTTTCCTGGATTGCAATAGTCAAAAAAAGACAGGCGAAAATATGGCATAAACTTAATATCATTAAGGAGAGTTTTAATAAATTTAAAAAGTGCTAAGATTTGATGTTTTTATATGAAATACTTTCTTATATTTAAGTAATATAATTCCGGGCAGATTAGACTTTAAAAAGAATAATTAAATTGCATATATGAGAATTATCGAAATGTAGGATAGTCTCCAGAGATGAAATAACTGATAAAATGTCAATAAAAAAAGCCTTTTTTATATAGTTTTTAGCTATTTCTTTCTTCTATAGTATTATAGTACCCTTCTCGAATAACCCAGTATTGAATTTGATAAGAATATCGAAAAAAAATGCTATACAATTGATGTTTTTGAATATTATCCAAGTGTTTCCATATTTATTATCGAATAATTCCCCATTAATTACCTCTAAAGGTATATAAAAAATAGCTATAATGTTAAATAGGAACTATATGAGTCCCCAGAATATCATAAAGTTGGAGCCAGGGTCAAAAGACTATATATTCATAATTAAAAACAGAACATTTGTGTAAAATTCTTTGATTTTGTATTTTAAAAACAAAAGAAATTTATGATAAAAAATTATTGAAATTCGAGTTTTTCTCCGGTTGTGTTTAAGCCTTTCATCGTCCAAATTAAAATGGACAAAATCATTAATAATCTATAATTGTCTTAAATTTAAATTATTTTAATTGAATTTTACTTTTTTTTTTACTAATCTCATAAATTTATGTACTTTAAAAAGAGATCTTAAAGACAATTTTATAATTATATCTTTAATAAATAACGCCTTTTTATTTTTACTAAGCATTTATTTTTCTATTTCTTCTTTATTTTTTTCCGAACAACATAAAGTAGTATTATTTCGTTTTATTTTATTTTTTTCATTATTTTATTATTATTATTAGTGATTATTATCTTAATTTTAAAAATATTTTTGGTTTATATTTTTTAAACTTGAAAAAAAGCAATTTTAATTTTCTTTTAAATTTATTTTCTCATTGTTTTCTTTTAAAAACTTATCTAATTTATAAAACTTTTAATAAATTTTTAAAGCCCGTCTTTAGTATCCATCATCGTCTATTTCATAGAGGCTTTCTTGGTTCTTCTTAGGCTCTAGTTTACCTTCCTAATCTAATCTAACGTTATGACTAACCGGAGAAACGAATTTAATTATATTCTCAGTACTAAAGGAAGAATTTTATACTTATTATTGGATATTTCCAGGTTTTTTATTTAAGGATTTATTAGAAACCAATATATTTCGATTTTTTATTAGTGCGTTTTCTATTGAAAAGTCAAACATTTTTTTTAAAAAAGGATTTTTTTTTAAAATATTTTATTTATTTTCATTATAAAAAATAATTATATTTTTAGAAAACAAAATTTATATAATAATTAATATTTATATAATTAGAACTAAATCAAAATTATAAATCTATTGACTAATTCGCTTTTTTACATTATAATATGAAATATATATATATATATATATATAGAGTTATAAAAAATTTCAAAAGTTTATTTATATCACCTAAAATCTTTATAGTATGTATATATATATATTTATTAAAAATTAAATTAACATATATATATATATATATTTAATTATTTAATTATATAAGTATATAAATATAAATAAAATTAAACATAAAATAATAGTCCACGCACCATATAATAAACCCAAGGCAAACAAACAAAATATATATATCCAGAAAAATCAAATAATAAACTAAACTCTAACACAAGGGCCTATAATAGTAGTAATATAAAAGGCCATATAACAGTAGTAAAATATATAAGGTTCTATAATAGTAGTAGTAAAATACTAAATTCTATAATAGTAGTAAAAATACAAGAGCCTATATATAGTGTAGTAAAATATAAGATTCTATAATAATAGTAGTAATAATAAAATACAAGGTTCTATAATAGTATTACTAAAATAAAAACCTGTATTAGTAATAAAATAAATACAAGATCTAATAATAGTACTAAAATAAAAACCTGTATTAGTAATAAAATATGAAATTCTATAATAATACTAAAATAAAAACCTCCCGTAATAATAGTAAAATATAAGATTCTAAAATAATAGTAGTAAAATATAAGATTCTATAATAATAGTAGTAAAATACAATATTCTATAATAGTAGTAAAAATATAAGATTCTATGATAGTGGTAAAATAAATCCCCCCCTCCCCCCCCCCCCGTAATAATAGTAAAATAAAAACCTCCTGTAATAATAGTAAAATACAAAATTCTATAATAATAGTAGTAAAATACAGACCCCCTCGTAATAGTATTAAAATATAAGATTCTATAATAGTAATAGTAAAAATACAAGAGCCTATAATAATAACAGTAAAATACAAAATTCTAATATAATAGTAGTAAAATACAAGATCTAATAATAGTAAAATACAAATCCTTAATAGTAGTAAAATATAAAATATAAGATTCTATAATAATAATGAAATAACCCCTCTCCCCCCCCCCCCTCATAATAGTAGTGAAATATAAAAAAAAGGAACAACAAAAGCCTGAAATTTTATTACTGGAAACAAGTCCTGTAAAAGACCTTTTTTATTAAAAAAAAAATCTTAATGAATATTCTAAATTAATATAAAAGCTAAAATGCTTTTTTAAAACGGAATCAACAAAAAATAAACCCATTCTATGTATAAATAGAATCTTTCCTATATAAGGTCAATATATTCGATTCTAAATAATACGCAATCAAAGCTTAATTCAATAATAACGATAATTGGTAAGTTTTAAAGAATATACAACGACTTTAAATAGCTTCGAAAAGCCCTTAAAAATATATACCCTCTATTCTTCTGAAAAGAGCCGTAAATGAGATAAAAACACTTCCAAAGACAGTAAATTCATCGAAAAAGCCTCCTCATCGATTATAAGATCCAGAGCCTGTAGAAGGAGAAGTAAAAAGTGAAGTAAATAGGGATTTTTTGAGATACATTTAGCGACATAAATAAATAAGGAAGTGATATATACCAAAATATAAGCAAGAACCTATAATTTAAATAAAATAGGGGGAAGGGGGAAAACTAAGAAAATATGAGCAATATAACTTAGAGTTTTAACAAGGATTTTCTCCCTTAAGTTAGTACTAAAATTTACATATAAGAAATTTTCGAAATGTAATATAGACTATAGTATTCATTAATTTTCTGTATTTTTTTTTTTAAAAAAATAAAAAGAATTTTTGGATTAGTTTACTAAAGCTTGTGATTATTTTAATAAATAAAAAGACTATCTTGATTATTTTCAAAGGGAATTTTAAAAAAAAGGAAAATAAAAAAAAATCGATAGATGAGATTATGACAAGAGAAACGTGGATATGCAAGCTATTAAACATAAAAAGATTGGTTGGTGAATTTATAAAATCAATGACTAAAAAAACTAATTAGTATAATATTTAGCATATGAATGAATAATAATAAGAAAAAGCAAGATAAATATAAATAACTCGAAAAAAAAAACTATAAATATATATATATATATATATATATATATATATATATATTAATATCGCTATTTAATTTAATTTTTATAAATATAATAAATTAAAAGAAGCAAAATAATAAATTTAATCTATAAAAGAAAAAAGATGTAAGTCGAAAAAAATAATAATAAAAATTCTTTAAACAAACTTAAAATAACGCTTAATAAAAATATATAATTTAAAGGAAAAAATAAATAAATATGTGAATATGATTTAATTATTAATATATAAAAATAAAAATATCCTAAATTAGAATCTATAATATATATATATATATGTATATTTACATATATATATAATTTGATATATATATATATGTATAACTATATAAAAGTCCTTTTTAGTCTTCTGGTCTCACAATTAAAATTCACTATCATCTGCTTCTCTAGATTCCTCTAAGAAAATTTAAAAAACCTTCGAGTTTACAATCATTTAATTTTTACAAATTGCACTAAAAAAGCTCTATAATTATTTTTATCTCTACAAAACAAACTTTTTATCAGTATTCCCGAACCATTTTTTAATCGGGAAACTGGGCAATTTCTTAAATTATAATTTTAGGTTTTTATAGACTTTAAGAAGCATTGAATATCGACTAGTAAACATCCAAGACTATTAACTGACATTTTTGTTTGCTTATTTTTTCGTAACAATAGCCTATACTTAATAAATAACGACTTTTCTTTTCTTCCCTTCCCCATCTAAATCATCCTCGTTAACAATTTCATAATCTTTAAATTTAAAATCAATAATATCTTAGTAGGTTTATTAGTTTTTTTTATTATTAATTTCTTTATTCAAACTATTATTATTAGTTATTTTGCTTGTTCTACTATCTAAAAATTTAAGGATTGTGGAAAACTATTATTTTTATATAAAAACTTCCTTATTTTATTCAAATTATTCATCGTCTGTAGAACATTATGATAACTACTATTATATTTTTTAGGTTTCTTCGATATATTTAAACTCTGTAGAAGAGTCAGAAATTAGTTAATTGTCCATTGTGAACAAATAAATTCGACTTTGCAGTGATTTGTATAGTTAATGAAAATAGAATTATTAGTCAATTCGCCTAACCTTTTTTAAATTTTGGTTTAAAAAATGAGTTTGGAAGGTAAACTTGTAAACTTTTTGAAAAAAAGCTTTATTAAGTTGTTGTTTGTTTTTAAGTTTTTCTTTTTTATTTTTGGTTAAAAAGAAAAAAATTTTATATTTTTTTTATATTGATATTAATTATAATAAAAAAAGGGAATAAAAAAAATTTCGATTTAAATCAAAAAAGAGAAAAAAAAAATATAAAAATTATCATTTTAAATTTATCTATTACATTTTTTTTACCCACCCCCCCCCCACCCATTTTGTATAAAACCCTATTTTTATAAATAAATAGGTTTTTTTATTATTTTTGAAAAGTAAATAATAAATTAGTAAAAGTGCGTAATAAATTTTATTTTTTCATTTTCCTTAATATTTTCTTTTTTTTTATTATTAAATAAAAATAAAAAAACATAACTAATAAAATATTTAAAAATAAATAAATAAATATATATTTATTAATTTATTTAATATATACTTTTTATTAAATATATATATAACTTAAAAATATTTAAATAAAGAATCACATTTAACAAATTCATTATAATATATAAATAAAAATTTATATTAAAATAATATAAAGTATTAACTAACTATAAAAAAATTAAATATATGATTATATATTTATATAAAAATAAAATTGTTTAGTAAATATTCATATATATAAAATTTTATTAACAAAACAAAAATATTATATTATTCATTATTTTTTTCAGTTATTTTTATAAAAATAAAAAAATTATATTTATAATTTTCTTAAAAAAATATAGTATGTGAAATTTACATCAAAAAATAATTGGTTTCTAAAAAAAAACAAAATAATAAAAAAACTATTTAATTTAAAATAAGATACTATTAATATTATAATAATGATCAATTATTATTTTATAAAACAAACTATTTTATTTATAACTTAAATTAAAATTATATATATATATGAATATAGATATATATATATATATATATATATATATATATATATTTATATACATTTTTTTATATATATTTATTGATATATTCATTTCCATTTTAATTTATTAAATATTTAATTTATATTTATTTATTTTATTTTTTTTAATAATATTTTCATATTTTTTTTTTAATTTAAAAATTTTATATATATTGAATATATATATGTTTATTATATTTTATAAATACATTCGAATAATAAAATAATTTCATATTTAAAAAAAACAAACTAAAATAGAAATCAAAATGTATTTCTTATTTTAAAAAAATTACTATGCAAATAAAAATTATCATCATCCTTCAATTCAATTTATCAATATATGATATATATTTTTTTTAATTATTGACATATTTTTATTTATAATTATATTTATTTAATATAATAACTAAATTGAATTTTCTAAATAATAATGATAAAAAATTATTCAAAATTAAAAGAAATTGTAAAGAATACTATTTGAATGGAAAATAAAGTAATTATTTATACACTATGATAGAATAAATCTTTAAACATAAAATAGGAACTTAAAAAAATATTATATAAAAAAATAAATATATAAGCGGTTAAAAAAAAAATTTCAAAAATCAAATAAATGTATAAATATAAGAACTTTTACAGATTATAAAAATAAAAATGATAACATAGTTTTTACATTCATATGTAAAAAAAAATATATAAAATAAATAGTAATATTCGAAATAAAAATAAATATTAAATATAAAAATATATATATATATATCTATATATATTTATATATATCTTTTTATTTTTTATTTAATAACTTTATATTTTATTTAAAGGTTTCATTTAATATGTTTTTAGATTATAACTTAATTTAAAATATCTATATAAGTATTGATTATGGTTATATTAATTTTAAAAATAAATTTTTGAATTTCGATAATAAAATGAGACTGAAAATTAATTATTAAAATAAATTGAGAAAAAAAAGAAAAAAAATAAATATTTTTGATTTTTAAATGTAAAATAATGATTTTTTTTTTAAAAAAAAGATCTTTTATTTATTTAAAATTTTTTATATCTTTTAATTTTTTTTTCTTTTATAAATTAATTTATTTTCAAATCAAAATATTATTAATAAAATGATAAAAATAAAAATATCTAATTTATTTTAATTAATATTTTTTTTATTGTTTTAAATTTTATAAATAATTTTATTAATATTAAAATTGTATGTAATAAAAACTTTTAAATTAAAAAGTAAATTATTTTAATTGATATTTTTTATAAATTAATGTTTATTATCTATAAAAGCTTGATAATTTTAAAATCAAAAAATATAAATATTATAATCTTTGAATATGTTGAAATTGAAATTAATAAATTTAAAATAATTGCATTTGTTTAATATTTTATTTTATTTTACGAAAAAAACGAAATATAAGTTTTAAAATGTATATAGATATACTTTTTTTTAAAAAAAATATAGTATTATATTATTAATAAATAATTATTATAATAAAACCTTATTATTTATAATTTTTTTATATCAATTTTTATTTTATTTTTTCAATAATATTCCAATAATTTTTATTTCATATTAAAATATATATAATCATAATAAAATATAAAATATATATATATATTTATTTATAATACTTATATTTTTAATATTTAAAAAAAAAAAAAAATTATATTAGTAATTATAGCTTTTATCAATAAAAAAATATTAGTAAATTTTATTTTTAAAATATATTCAACTCTGAATTAATATTTTTTATACTAAATTTTAAAAATATAAAGTCTCAATTATAAAAAATAATACATTTTTTTATATAAAAAAATATTTTGTAAGGAAAAAAATCATTAAAAATAAAAAAATATATATTTATTTAATATAAGAAACATTTTTATTAAAAAAAAAAGTTATTATATCAAAATAAAAAAAGTTTATAAAAAAAATTAGGTAATAAATAACAATATATTTAAAAAAAACTCAGATTAAATAAATAATTTATTTAAAATGAAATTGTACTTTTAATTTACAAATTATTTTAAAAATATATATATTTTTGCAAATTTTTAATATTATATGATAATATTGAGTAATTCCTAAATATTTGAAAAAAAAAATCTATATTTAAATTGTAATTATTATTATAATTAAAATTATATATACAAATATAAATCATATATATATTAAAATATATGTAATATATATATATATATTTTTTATATATATATTTTTTTTAATGTCGTATATTTAAAAGATAAAATATATAATAATTTGAATATTATATTCTTTATATATTTCTTTTTATAAAAATTTTTATATAAATAAAAAATTAATAATTTTCATATTATTTATTGAAATATAATTTAATTTTATATTTTGTTAATAATAAATATTTTATATTTATTTCAAAAAAATAAATAAATATTATATATATCTATTTATAAAAATATTACTTTTTATTTTTAATTAGATATTTTTTATTATTATTATTAATTTTATGGTATATTTTTTAAAATAATTTTTTAATAATATCCATAAATAAACATATATAATAATATTTTCTTATAATCTATTTTTTTGAAATAATAAATATTATATAATTTAATCTATCTTATATTTAAATTATTAAAAAAATACATTAAATTAATAATCTTATATCAATATTATTATAATTAGATCTTTTATTTTATTCTGTGATAAATCTGTTTTAATTTATAATTTCAATTATTTAATTTATTAATTTTTATAAAAATATAATTAATTTTTTCTTTGTAAACGTTATTATTTTATTTTAATATATATATCATCTTATATATATAATTTATTTTTAATAAAAAAATTTATAAATAATATATAAAATAAATGGGTTGCTGTACTATTTTTAAATAAGAATAATTCAATATATCATCAATATAGTCTCCTATATTATAAAGTAATAATAAAAGGAAAAAAAACTCATACCTTTCTTATAAATTAATACATTCTAAAAGTTTAAATAGTACATAAGACAAAATTTCTGGTCTTACTACATAAAATTTATCAATACAAAATTCATAATAATCAATATAAATAAAAAATAATATAGAAATAAATGAAAAAATGATACTGTTAGAAAAGTATATTAAAGTACTATACATAAAAGAAGAAAATAAATACAAAAATGAGCATTTATTACTTAAAATTACAGAACTACTATTATATTTTTTTATTAAAAATTAATTTATTTTTTCTATATAGTTTAAGAATATGAATAATGTTATTTGTTATAATTATAATAGTTTTTTTTTTTTATAATTTAATATATATATAAATATTTAATAAAAAGACATTATATATGGAAACATTTTTATATTTCGATTAATATAAAATCTCGAAATAAATATTAAATTAGAAATAAGACATTTATTTTTTATAAAAATATTAAAAGATTATTATTTCGTATTTTTATTTAATTTAGATAAATTAAAATTTTAGCAAAAATATTAAACGTTTTTAATATGTAAAATATTTTTTTTTTAATAAATAAATTTTAATTTAATTAAAATATATTTATATATATATATATATATATTTATTATATAATATATATATTATATATATATTTCTTTAAATTATTATTATTTTATTTAGATATTTTTTAAAAATATAAAACAAAAATTTTTTAAGTGATAATAAATAATTTTTAAATTTTTTTGTTTGGCTCGTTTATATATATTATTTTTTTTATTTATATTTAACTAAATAAAATAAAAAATTACATTATAGATTTTAAAGAGCATTTTTTATTTTTTAAATAGAGTTTATAAAAAAATTATAATAAAAGATTATTTACAAAAAAAATATATATAAATATATATATATACATATATATATCTATATAAAAATTTATTAATATATAATTTAATATAATAAAGCTATAAAATATTTATTTAAAAAATAAATTGATTAATAATTTATTTAAATATAAAAAATAAAAAAAAAATGGAGAAAAATAAATATATAAAAATTAATTTTACTGAAATAAATAAAATAGTAAAAAAAAATTATATAAATATATTTATAAATAAATTTTTATAAATAAATATTTATATATATATATATCTTATATATATATATATTTTTTTATAATATTAGATTTTCTATTTTAATTGTAAAAATTTATTTTATAGTATAAAAAATTAATTCTAATTTTAAATAAATAACAAAAACTATACATAATTAATATTTATTTCTATTCAATTACTATAATTTATTAATTCTTCTAAAATTAAATAAGCATCCTATACACATTATTTGGCTTCTTTCATACCATTTGGTGAATCATAATTTAAAAATCCATGTGGCATTTCCGAATATACATACAGTTTAGCATCTTTTTTTATATCGCTAAAAATAAATAATAAATATATAAAAATAATATATATATAAAATAAAAACATGAGTCTTTTTAAAAATCTCCAACAGTCATCATGTAAAGGATCTTTACTACCAACCATAATTCTTACTGGTGGAAATTATTTTAATAACTATATTTTTTTCTTTAAAAACAAATAAATAATAAAATACTTCATAACTTGCATTTATTGGAGATGCAAAAGGATCTTTTTATAGATTTACATTTAAATGTTCAGGAATATAAGAATCCAAACATATTTATAGAAATGTATGTGGTATAATTTAATCATCTAAAGCCCATAAAATAGAAGGTGTAAATGTTTTCATATTTAAATTTAAAGCTGATAATAAATATAAATGTATATATAAAAAAAAAAAATGAAATGTATAATAATAAAAGACTATATATATAATGATAATATATATATAAAAATATATATATTTATTTATTTATTTATTTATATAAAATATATATATATATTTATAAAAATTTATATATTATTTAATATACTTATATAAAATATTTAATAAAAATATTTAAAATAAAAATGTATAATACTTAAAATTAAATTGATATAAAATTAAAAATATATTTATATATATATATTTTTTAAAAATAAATATATATATACCAGGATAACATAATAAAAGTCCATCAGGATATCTTACACCACTTTTAATACATCTTAAAGTAAGAGCTATCAAAAAATAATAAATATTTAAAAATATAATTAATATTAATAATTATACAAGTAATTAAATTTCCTCCAGCAGAGTCACCAACTAAAACTATATTTATAGGCTTAATATCTTTTTTAAATATATAAATTTGTATATACAAAATAATAAATGTAAATATATTTAACAAAATATATATAAATATATATATATATATATATATATATATATATTTTATATATATTTATGTATTTATATATTTTTTATTTTTTTTATTTTATACTAAAACATTTTTAAACATAATTTAGTATCCAATTATAAGCTTACCAACAATCATTTAGAGCTTCTGGATATGGATATTTTGGAGCTTTTTTATAATCAATACTAAAAATTGGTATGTTAAGTTTATTTGCCCATTATCTTGTATAAGTTTAATGGCATCTTGAACTCATAGCAATAAAACCACCTCCATGTATATGTATAATAATTTTTTTAAAAAATTATTTATTTTAAAATGGATATTTCTAAATAATTTCGCTACAAAGTATACGTATTTTTATTTTTTCATTGTTTTTTATAAATAGTTCTTATATATATTTTTCTATATTATTTCTGATAAAATGCATTGTTTTTTATTAAATTTTATTTATCTTATTTTAAGTATTTAATAAAATTTCTTTTTATAAATTTTATAAACTTATTTTATTTTCGACTTATTCAATATATATTTTCATATTGCATTTTATATAAGGAAAAATTAAACTCATAGCATGTTTATAAATGCCTTCATCCATCATATTTAATACCTTAATAAATATATAAATAAATATAATATATTAAAAATTTAAAAAATAAATTATTTTATAAATAAATATAAAACATTATTTATTATTAATATATATTAATATATATATTTAAAATTATAAATATTATATATATAAATATATATATATATATATATATATATATATATATATTTTTACTTTTATTGTGACAGAGGGTCTAGGCTCACAATAAAATAACTAAGCTCTTTATTTAGCTTTTGATTACTCAAAAAAATAATAAATACATCCGAAATTTTAATAAAGTAATTTTAATAAAGTTGAATTTTGCTCATTTCCTTTTGAAATTGCTGCATTTGCAACTAATATAGTCCTTACAATGTTTTTGAACGATTTCTGTAGTTAAATTGGGTCTGCTAATTATATAATTTTTACTTTTCTTTTCAATTCATCAAATTTTTGGTCGTTGAAATTGCTAAAAATATCTTCTTTATCAAAAATAGCAGCATATGGGAATATTAAAATAGCACTCAGTAGCTTAGAATGTATAATTTTGAGGTTATTTATATATATTGTAATATTAGAATGTAAAAAATCATTAATAAAGCTTTCCAAAACCACAAAAATTTCATTTAAAATTGAATTTTTAATATATAAAATTGTACTATTTGAAATCTTTTTTTTTTTAACTAAAAAAAAAAAAAAAAAAAAAAAAAAAATTTTTTTTTTTTACTTCAAAATTAATTTAATTTTTATTTTTTATTTCTATTTTGTATTTATATAAAAATGCATATTTCTTATTTATTTCTTCAATTTCTTCTATATATTATGTTTCGGAATATTCAATTAATTAGTTTATTTATTATTATAATATTAAAGTAGTTTTTTAAATAATTAAAAGTCTTTATATTTAATCATCTTCATTGAAATTAATTATTATTTAAGGAATTAGGTTGCTAATATTAGTAATTAAATCTAAACCTAATAAATATATATTTAAGTATATATATATATATATATTTTTACATTATTATGTGAGTTAATAAAAACATTAATTATTTATTGATTATTTTGGTTTATATTATATAGAAGATGTCTATATAGGAATTTTTAATATTAATTATAAATCTTAGTCTGTTTTTTCATCTATAAATTCAATATCATCTTCTAAAAAAGAATTCATATAATTATATTATTTATATATAAATAAATTTATATATTAAAATATAAAATAATTAAATATTTTATTTTAATATATTTAAAATTATAAATTTATTAAAAAAAATGAAAAAAAAAAAAATATATGAATTTTTATAAAAATATATAATAATATTATTTAATAATTAAATTAAATGAAGTGGTTTAAAATATATCTATATTTATTATCAAGTTGTTAAAATTTTAATATAAATCATATTATTTAGAATTATAGTCATTAATGCTTTAAATATATATATATATATATATATATATATATATAAATATATAATAAAATCATTTTTTATTATTAATGGATATATAATATTTTAATTTCAAATAATTTATTAAATAGATGTTAAATTATAATCTATGATTATTGGAAAAAAAATACATATTATATTTTAATAATATATTTACATTTATTTATATATATATATATATTAATACTTTTAAAAGATAAAAATAAATAATTATAAAAATAATATATAATTATATATTAAAATTGTATTTTTTTATTAAATATATTTATTATTTCATTAGTATTCAATATAATTTCTAAATTTATTTATTTAATACATAATATATATTCAGAAAATAATAATAATTATTTGTTATTATATATATAAAGTCATATTTTTATTTATTTTTTTTTCTCTCTTAATATAAAAGAAAATCTATTATTAAATTAATTATTATTTATATATGATAATTTTTATTTAGAATATATATAAATAAAATGTTTTATATTTTATTAATTTTATTTCAAAATATTAAATAAAAAATAAATTTTTATTTTTATTAAAATAAAATAAAATATAAATATATATAAATATAAAATTTTATATATCAATAAATATATTTATTATTAATATATTATTTTATTTATATATTTATACTTTATTAAATATTTATTTTAAATTTATAATATTAATGGGATAAGATTTTTTTTTTTTTTAATTTTAAAATATATATTAGTATTATTATAAATTAATAAATATTTATGATACTAAAGTAATACGAAATAAAGAAAATCTTATATAATTAATATTTTTTTTAAATATATTTAAATTATTTATAATATTATTATTAAAACAAAATAAAAATATATATATATACAAATAAATATATTATTTATATATATATCCAAGAAATATATTTAATAAATATTTATAAAAAATTTTTAATAAAAATATATATTAAATATATATTATTATTATAATATTTTTGTATTTATAATAATAAATAAAAATTTTATATATTTTTTTATTTTTATTTTTTATTTACATATAATATATATATTACAAATAACTTTTTTATGTTTTCATTCTTATTTAATAACATTTACATTCAAAAAAAATAAAAAAATCTGTAATATTATTATTAAATTACGAAATATTGAAAAATCTAAAAAAAAAAAATATATTTAAATAAAATATGATATTAATAAAAATTATATATAATAAATTAAAATATAAAATATATTTGTATTTTAATGTATAAGGATAAATATTAAAAAAATAATTAAATATATATTAATAATAATATAGTTAAAAAAATATATATAAATTAATATAAATATAATATAATTATATATATATATATATTTATACCTCAATATTATTTTTATTTTTTTATATTTTTATTATTATTTTAATTACTATTTTCACATTTATTATAATTTTAATTTTAACTACATAATTAACTTTTATAGACTATATTATCATATTTATTTATTTTATCTTTCTAGATGTTAATTTTTTATTAATAAAAGTTATTTTAAGTTAATTAGTGTTTAAAATTTTTCATATATTTCTTTTTAAACACATCTTGATTTTATGAATAAATATCTTCATTATCAAAAATTTATATTAATGGCGAAGAAAGGAAGCTATTTGCAATATCTAGTATATTTTCTTTTTTACTAGAATAATTTTATTTTTATTAGATATCATTTTGTTTTTAAAATTATTTTTTTTCACTATTTTCTTCTTATTATTATTTTTCATAAAACTTTTCTTTTTCATCTTTTAAATAGACAACTCCCATTTCATTTATGATTTCATATTTTTTACTTTTTTATTTATTATTTTGTTGATTTTCCAATATTTTTACCTAAAATTATTAGTTCTAAGTCTCATTTTCTTCCTTATTATTCTATTTAAACTATTATTTATGTATTTATATATTTTCTTTAATTTTCGACTATATATTTTTTAAATATTCTGGTAAATTATATTTACTATTATTTTCATAATTCTAGTTTTTTTTATTTGACTATTAATTTCTAAGTTTATTACTCAAAATTAAATTATTGTTTTCTGTGACATAAAAGTATTCACTTTAAACTTATCTTTTTAAATTTTAAATATTATTATTATTATTAAATTATTATTATAATTAATTATTAATATTTTCATTTTTGTAATTTTATATAGTATCAATATATAAAAAACATTTTCGTATTTCTTAATCATTTAAATAAGATTTAATTGGCGAATAAATGTTTTTTATATTTATTGATGTAGTAGGTGGTGAAGTTTCAGTAATCTATATAATTGATTATGGTAGAAAAATTAGAATATGAAAAAATATCAATATATAAATTTATATTAAAATATAATTATAAAAACATATATATATATATATATATATATATATATATATTACTTTTTTTATTATCTTTTCTTATTATTTTATATAAAATTAATCATAGTTTTATTTATTTTTATTTTAATCATTTAATTTTTATAAATAAAAATATTATTTTTATTATTATTAATATTATTATTAATATTATTATTATTATTATTATTATTATTCTTATAATTATTTACTTTTATATAATTTTTATTATTTTATATTTTATTCTTATATTTACTTATTTATTTATTTTTATTTGGGTTATATATTAACTTTTTCATTAAATTTATTATTTAATATTAAAAGTTATTATTTTACATTTTATAATTTTTTTTATAGTTATGTATTTTAGTTTATTTATTCGTTATTATACATATTTTTATCAATTTTTTTACTATTTTATTATTTTTAATATAAATTTTATTTATAAAATTCTATTTCAACATTTTCTATTTAATTTAATAATTATAATTTAATAATCTTTAGTTTTTTTACATGCTATTTAATTTACTTTTTAGTATGCTATTTATTCAGTATTTTCATAAAGTAATTTTTATGTTTCACCTATTCCTATTAAAATAAGTTTTTAAGCAAAAAATATTGCTTATTATGTATTCCAACCTTAAAAAAAACTACTTATTATTACATTAGATAATAAATTGAAAATTATTTTTTTTTCTTCTTTTATTTTCATTTGTATATTTTTTATTTTTTTTAAATATTTTTATTATTTTTATAATTTATAATAAATATAAAATTTTTATAACTTTTTAATTTATTAATTTTTTTAAAAAATAAATATTTTATTATATATTAATAATAAACAGAAAAAAAAAAAAAAATTAATACTTATTAAAATTATATATTTAACAAACTTAAAAAAACACAATTTTTTTTATATATAAAAAAAATACATATTATATATATAAAAAAAAAAAATTTAATTATTATTAATTTATATAATAAATATTTTTAATTTAAATATATTTTATTATATAAAAATAATTGTATTTTTTTTAAAAAAAAGTTTAAATATAATGTTATATTTGTTAGTTATAACTATAATAATAATAAATAAAATAAAAATATACTAAAATATTAAATAAACAGGATATAATGAATTTAAGACATATTTTTAAAACGAAAAATAAAAAAAACATATAATAAATAATTTAAGAATAAAATAAAAAAAATTTAATAATTAATTACATATTCATTTTAAAATATAATTATTATTAAATAAATAAAAAATAAAAA